GTTCGTTCTGGTTCCCGCACCGCAGCCCCCGCGGAGCGCGCCCGGGGCAGTGTGGGCGCGGCGCTGGGCGCTGGGCCAGCCATGTCCGCGCTTCTGTGGCCTGCGGAGGCTGGGACCGTAGCATGCAGTGAGCAGTCAGTAAATGGTAGTGTTATTTTTCAGACTTTGTACTATCAGGATAAAAAGCGAGATAACGCAGCTCAGAGAAAACGGTTTTGAGAGGAGATGTGGTCCAAAGTGAGCAGTTTTCTAATCCACGGAACCCAGCAAATTACCACTCAGTGGCTTAAACAGTACAAACCTGGAAACAGGTAGCAAGGAGCTAGAATCGGATGCTGGGAAACGGGAGGTGCCGAAAGGGGAGGGATGACTAGCCGTGAGCAGCTGGGGCGGGACCTGGACTCCTGTGCAACAGCCCACACTGCCCTGTTCTTCGGGAGAGCACGTGAACAGCTTTAGGGAAACACTGCCCAGGACAGTGTCTAGCGTGGACGAGGACCGGCGTCTCTACAGGTGGTGGGAATCCAGACGTTTCTGCACAGGGGCTGTATTCACCATCCCCACCCATCTCTCCCCTGCCTGCCAGCAACACGCTGGACATTTCCGTATTTTCTCTGCTCTTTGCTTTACAAAGTAGCTCACTTATTTACATTTAGACAAGCATGGGATATTGATTGTTAGCGGTACATCTTTGAGGAAGTGGGGAATATACTTGGCTTAGCAAATAAATAGGCTTTCTTGATAAAAATATTCAGGAATCAGAATCTCGGAACTGTGGTTTAAAAAAACTAGCAATTTTTTAAAAGACGTAATGCTAATAAACAAGAATTGTTCCGTTTTGAAGATAGCTAAATTGTAATATTCTGGTCTATCTAGATGGGATCATATCTGTGGAGTTAAAGATTGTGAACAGTTTGGGATGAATCTAAGCTCTGGAATCAGAACAGGTTTAGATAGTCCTGGTGGTCCCCATCATTATCCATCTATGGTTGTACTGACTTCTAGATCCATGCATCTGAGAAGATATTTTACATTTTAAAGGTATAGTTTGTCCTGTTTCGACAAGTGTTTCTGTAACTCCAGTTAGCTCATATGCGATTGGTAAACAGAATGGTGTCAGTAAAATGTGGCATTGATGTTAGTTTATTTGCATTTTTCCCTAGGCAAAAGGATTGGAATAGAGAACGATAGGAAAGGGAGGAAAAAGCTCTGAGCTGGAGTGTTGCATGGATGCGCCCTGTCAGCTCCATTTTAAGAAAAGTTCACATGAAGAAAATATCCTATGAGCACCAGGGTCTCCCTTCCCAGAGAGGTGTACCCCAGTACTATGCAAATATCGGGTGGCAGGCTGCACTTTTCCCGTGCTCAGCATCTCTACTTCCTTGTTTTTGTGCATTAAAACAACATCTCTATAAAAACATGATTAACCACTTTGCTATATAGAAAATAAAATTTGATGTTTATAAACCAGGTAAAGGAGAAATTGGCTTAGCTTGGCTCCCTACCATCTCTAAACGCTCATATGCTGAGGCTGAATCGTGCAGCCCAACACACCGCAAACATCCTTGTTTCACGTTCCTACTCACTCACGGGAAATGTACCTTCCCACATGCGCTCATGCACTACTGTGCATAATTTACGTGAGCCTGGCACCGGGTAGTACCTACAGGGTGATCAGTGAATATTTTTCCAACTCAAAGTACGTGGCTGAAAACAGATGAATAATTCATTCAATTCATTTCTTTCAAATAACTGACATTACAGAATTTTACCTTTTAGACAACAAAAAGTAGATATTGCCTTACATTTCTATTGATCTTTAATAAATATCACAGATGCTATTAACTGAGCACTCACTGTATATATACTAAGAACCCTGTGTGCATATCATATGCATCATGTGATTTAATCATCACTGCTTGTTTTTAGCAGAACTAGAATCCATTCCAACTTGGTCGTCAAGATTCTTCCTTTTTTTTTTTTTAACATTGCACGGTGCTGCCTACTTTGTGATTCTCAAAGTGCTTTTACATTCATTGTGTCTTATGCATGAAAATCTTATATAGTAGATTGTTAATTTCATTTTACCAAGAAACAAACTCATAAATTTGGGAACTCATGTTCTAAAAATTAAAAAAACAAACAACTTTTGAGATAATTGTAGATTTTCTTGCAGTCGTAAGAAAGATCCCATACACCTTAACCTAGTTTCCCTCAGTAGTAACATCTTACATAACTAGAGAACAATGTCACATCCAGGAAATTGACATTGATACAATGCATAACACTCGTTTATGTGTGTTTATTTAGTTCTCTGTTCTATCACATTGTATACTCGAGACTACCACAGTCCAGATGTTGGACAGTTCCGCCTCAAGGATCCCTCCTGCTGTCTTTGTATGCCACAGCTGGGTGACCCCCTCCCCCACACCTTCCATAGCAGCCACACCTGTTCATCATCTCTGACTTTGTTATTTCAAGGATGCTATGTAATTGGAATCATAAAGTGTGTATTTTGGAGGGTTGGCTTTTTTCACTCCGCATAATTTCCTTGAGATGCATATATCAATAACTATTCCTTTGTATTGATGACTAGTACTCCATGGAATGGCTACAACCCAGGTTAGCCAATCCCTTGCTGAGGAATATCGGTTGTCTTCACTTTCTGGCTACAATGAATAAAACTGCTATGAATATACACATACAGGTTTTTGTGTGAACGGGCATTTTCCTTTTGGGAGATAAATGCCCAGCAATGCAGTGATGGGCTTTGTGCATTTTTAATTTCCCATGAGAGAGCAACGTCCAGGTCCGGCCATGATCATTGTCTTTATTAGTGTTCTGGTTACAGAGATGAGCAGCTGTGGAGAGTCCTGCCCCGGTCCTGTATTTTAACGAGCTGTTTTGGTAAACATGAGGTTTTTCAGGGATGTATCTACCGTGTCACACCCGGACTGCTTACACCAGCTGGACTGAGGGTTGTGGGAGTGGAGAGCAGCATGTCCAGTGAAGACTGGGTTTCCCCCCTTTCTCTCAGGGATGATGGCCCCTCTTCCTCTGCCTCCGCACTCAAGCGCCTGGAGCGCAGTCAGTGGACGGATAAAATGGATTTGCGGTTCGGTTTTGAGAGGCTCAAGGAGCCTGGTGAGAAGACGGGCTGGCTCATCAACATGCACCCCGTAAGCACCTGGGCTTTTCCTCCCCCCGAGGACCTCCTCTGCACCCCTGTGGTGGCATAGCCGTTGTTACCTGGTGCAGGAACCTGTTGTCCAGGTGGTACAGGGGGAGACGAGCTTGCTTGTAACTCTCCTACGTTGTTCCTTAACCTCAGTGGGCCATAAAGAGGCCCCTGGGAAGACTAAGGGGAGGGGTGTCCCTATCACCCATCAGACTAAAGCTTTCGAGGCTGAGGGAGAAATTGAGAGACATCCCTGCTTAGAGGCTGTTGTGTTGGGGTCCTCGTGAGTGGGGCTGCAGGGGGGGAAGGAAAGGGAGAGGGGCCCTCTCGGACTGTGTAGAGGATGTCCTTGAGCCGCGGTGGCTGATTCTCTTGTAGACTGAAGTTTTAGATGAAGATAAACGCCTCATCAGTGCAGTGGATTACTACTTTATTCAAGACGATGGGAGCAGATTTAAGGTAAACCCCCGAACCCCAAGAAGCTAAAACCCACTCAGTGGTGAGGCAGAGCTGGGCCCCAAGTGGCGAGTGTTCATTAGCTCTGCAGCTGTGCAGAGCGACTTGGGAGCTGCTAGTGTGCAGCTCCGTGAAGACCATCGGGAACATGGGCCCTCAGGGGGCCCATGTCTTAGAAGCTGGCTCAGGAAGACTGAAAGACAAGCAGTGTGGTGTCTCAGCCTTGCCCCTGCAGCGTGCGCGGGCCCTCATCTGTTGCTCCGTCTCATGAGACGTCTAAGTCAAGAGTGCACTGCATCTGAGTTGCTCCTGGCTACAACAGCAAACAGCCTGTTTTCACCATTCTCCCTTTCTCTTTCCCATCGCCCTGAACGCGTTGGTGAATCTTGCAGGTGGCCTTGCCCTACAAGCCATATTTCTACATTGCAACTAGAAAGGTAAGTCTGTGGTTCGTAGAATCAGTTCAGACAGCCTGTGCCTTCTCGTTCTGTGGGCGGTTTCAGAACTGGAAATGAAGACTCCAGACTAGCAGGCAAGGAAGGAAATATATTTCACTAATGGAAAGCCCTTTCATTATGTTCCCGATTTAGGGCTGTGAGCGAGAAGTTTCATCTTTTCTCTCCAAGAAGTTTCAGGGCAAAATTGCTAAAGTAGAGACTGTCCCCAAAGAAGATCTGGACTTGGTGAGTGTCACCTGTACCTTCCAGGGTATATAAAGCTGAGTCCACTCCACTGGGAGCGAGATGGGAGGAGGCCAAGTTCAGCACCTGTGGGTCGGGGGACAGTGCAGATGATGGGCCCTCCATGGCTGTCTGGATATCCTCTTCCATGAACTCGAGTGGCATAGTAGTGCCACATAGGGTTGGACAAGGAGCTTTGGAGTTGCCAACTCTGACAAGTACATTGACCTTTGAGTCGTTCTGCCCTTATTTTCTCTACCCAATAAAGTCCTTTTTCTCTTGAACATATGAGCACGATCTCTTCATCCGCAGCCAAATCACCTAGTGGGCTTGAAGCGGAATTATGTCAAGCTGTCCTTCAATACCGTGGAGGACCTTGTCCGAGTGAGGAAGGAGATCTCCCCCGCTGTGAAGAAGAACCGGGAGCAGAGCCACGCCAGAGACGCCTACACGGCTATGCTCTCCAGGTCAGCTTCGTTCTCGTAAGCAGAGCAGCTGGTCAGTCCACCAGGACTGTTTCCCACTCTTCCTAAGCTGATGAGATGGCTAGGAGGTGGGGAAACCCAGTGATTACGTTACCTTAACGAATGGCTCTGTTCGACGTGGATTACTTTTGAGCAATTAAGTAGAATTTCTTATGTTCTCCGTTTGTGTTAAATGGTGGCTTCCCGTGTTGTAGTTTATTTTCTTTGTTAGCTGTCTGTCTTTTCTTATGTGGGGGTGAGTTTGTGGCTCTAACACTGAGTTGCTGTTATAGTAAGACGTTCTAGATTTCTAAACCTCCCACCTTAATCAGTCTGTTTTCATGGCTTATGGTAAGTGTGAAGCTGTGTACAAATTTGATTAAATGCCTACATTTACAAAGTACATCTTCTCCAGATAACCTTGGGTATTATACAGGGAAATTCAATATAGGCCACCAAACGCTGTTCACCACACGTTTAGACATCAATAGTAATAGGAAGCAGGGTAAGAGATTAAGAAGAGGAAATCTTGGCAAATTAAAAGTTATGATGACTTCAGAAGAACTGATTATATCCTCTGGCAAAAGAAGATCAATTCGTGACCTAAACATTTCTGCACACGTCCCTCCCCCTCCTCCCCACCCCACCCCCCCCGTGGCCCATAAATTACTTTGAAGAATATTACGATGTGTAATCAGAGACTGAATCCCCAGAGTCCTGAGCCTTATCTAAAACTCATTGTCTTGTTTCCCCTTAATGGTGCATTCAATATCTGGAAGCTTAGTGGGCTAACGTTGGAGTGAATATTCTAGTGACAGTGATTTCCTGCTTGGGTAGGATAGGAATAACTATGGTACAGAAACAGTTACCATTTACCTGTCACTTAACTGTGTGGAGAGCCTTGTAACTTCACCCCAGGACACTCCTATAAGGCGGGTCTGTTATTGTCATCCTTGCATTCTTGGTGAAGAAACAAGCTCATGAGGGCCGGTCCCATTTGTAGACACGCCTCCCAGGCGACAGTTTCCTTTCTTTGTTCCTTTGATTAGGCTGTAACCTACATCCTATAAAATGCACATGTCCTAGGCATACGCTGAATTTCCTTGTGTCTGGCCTGCTGCTCAGCTAGGGAGGGTCATCTAAGGTCATTCTTAAGGGCCTGCTCTGGTCATCTCAGTCACCTCGATTTATCTTTTGAGTTTGTGCTGTGTGGACTCTGGTCCCCCCCAACTCCTAGCGGAGTGTAGTGGAGTAAGCTGCGCATGCTCTCTGTGTTGTAGCGTCCTGCAAGGGGGCGGGGCGATCGTTGATGAAGAGGAAACCTCTAAGAAGATTGCCGACCAGCTGGACAACATTGTTGACATGCGAGAGTACGACGTGCCCTACCACATCCGACTCTCCATCGACCTGAAGATCCACGTGGTGAGTGGGCCGTGGCTCGCGGGCAGTTCCTGACAGCCGGGTGGTATCGCGGGATAAATCCACCGAGACCAGGCTCACAGCTCTCAGTTAATGCACCGCACGTCCTGCAGGCTCATTGGTACAACGTCAGATTCCGAGGAAACGCCTTTCCAGTGGAGCTCACTCGCCGAGATGACCTCGTTGAGCGACCTGTAAGTTCTTGCATTTCCTCCACCCTGAATTTTCCACTGATTTCTCGAGAGAGCTAAATCAGTGCTGAAAGGTGAATTTGATTGAAAGATGTTTGCTTTTTTTTCCTTCTAATACTTTCTTAAGAGAATGATGGAATAATCATTTTCCTCATCAGTTTCTGACCCAAGAGTGGTTTTGCTTTATACCGGTGCATCCCCAGGTGACGTGAGTGTTTGAGCTAGGCTGGATCTGAATGTTTGAGGGGACGCTCTGACTTCCATTCTGGGGAGCTGATGGTGAAGTGATGTGAGAAATGGATTTATGACTGGAAGGCCTTAGTTCAGGGATAGCTTTGTAATCTTGGGAACGTCTGTTTTCTCATTTCCAAAATGAAGATGTCATCTCTAGCACAGCCTTCGGGCAGTGTTGCCATACAGGTCAAATGGGGTCAATGTACTTTAAGGAGTTTGAGGGTTCTACAGCTCTAGGCTCTTCCCATCTCCACGCCCTTTCTCACACGTTTGCTTTCAAACCATCAGTGATCGTAGTACTCGATGGGGCTCAGTCAGCCCCAAGACGCCTGTCCTACTTTCTTCGGAACCTTCCCCCTTGGCTGCTCGACTCTGGCTTTGAGCAGCTGGAGGTAGAGCAGCTGGTGGTGGGTGTCGAGAGGACCACCAGGGTCTCCAGAGCTCGGCTTAATGTGTGGCCGACGCAGTGCTACATCGTGTCCCTCCAGGATCCTGTGGTTTTGGCATTTGACATTGAGACGACCAAACTGCCCCTCAAGTTTCCTGATGCTGAGACTGACCAGATTATGATGATCTCCTATATGATTGACGGTCAGGTGAGTGATGCCTTCTGGGATGTCAGCTCCCTGGGAACACGGCCCTTGTCTGGTCCCCAAACTAGAATGGCGTCCATCTATTTTTGGGGTGAATAATGAGCAAGAAAGTGAATAAGTAAGTTGTTCGACATCCAGCCACGTTCTCACCTTCCGACAGAAACCTGAGACATCGGGGTTCTGCTCGTACGTCCCCTTGGGCAAGCTGTGGCACCTTCGGGTTGCTGCAGAGACTTATAGTAAGAGTTTCTGGGCTGAGTGGTGAGGGGCGTGTCTTCAGCTTCGTGTCTAACCCACACTGACTGCTGGTGACTTCCAGGGCTACCTCATCACCAATAGGGAGATTGTTGCAGAGGACATTGATGACTTCGAGTTCACCCCCAAGCCGGAATATGAAGGGCCCTTTTGTGTCTTCAATGAACCCGATGAGGTAAAGAGGTATCATTGGGAAACTGCCAATATTTGGGGTGAAGCAAGAGGAAGAGGCATGTTGCCTCTGATGGCCGTGGCATCCATTTGGTCTTGACTGTGTCCAGTGACGTCCTCGTGCATAGAGGGCCCGGGTGGGAGGGAGATGAAGGGCTGGTGTGAGTCTGCTTCTCCTGAACTGTGGGAGAGGGATTTGGAAGAAGCTTGAAAGGGAGAAAAGGCAGCCTCTGACTGCTGTGACTCATTGAATTCAGGTCCATCTAATCCAAAGGTGGTTTGAACATGTGCAGGAAACCAGACCCACCATCATGGTCACCTACAACGGGGACTTTTTTGATTGGTGAGTCTAATGCCTAACTTGTGAGTAACAAAGAGTGTTTGGGAGGGGACATTGCATGACACTGAATATACCTAATGCTACTGACCGGTCCCCTGAGAAGTGGTTAAGATGGAACCGGTGGTGGGGAGGGGCGCCGCCTGTGAGGAGTTCCTGGCTTGCGCGGCGTCCCCTGTGGGCAGTCGTCCCTGTCTCGGGCTAGTGTCTAACGGCCCTGTGTGATTGTCTGTCCTCCCTCGTCCCAGGCCATTCGTGGAGGCCAGAGCGGCAGCCCATGGACTGAGCATGTACCAGGAGATTGGGTTCCAGAAGGACAGCCAGGGGGAGTACAAGGCGCCCCAGTGCATCCACATGGACTGTCTCAGGTAGGCCCGCAGCTTACCTGGCGGCTCCCCGTGTCTCACGAGGGCTTTCTGTGAGTGAGGCCCAAGGCTCCCTCCTCTCACATGCTGGTCAGGTCCACCCCTCTCAAGGGGAGGAAGGTGGCCCGTGAGGAGCAGCTCCCATCCCTGGGGAGACAGCGGCGGACGACTTTGGCTGGGTCCTGGGAAACGCTCTCCTATCACGTGCTCATCATGCCACACATGCGTGTCGAGTGTCGGCCCTCAGGGTAGGGACGCCCGACCAGAAGGCAAGACCTGGTGGTGAGGTCTTGTAGCTTCCCCATCCGAGCCCGGGATGCGGCAGCCCAGCTGTGTCTCAGGGCGGCTGGGGTGTCCAGGCCGAAGATGAGCCTGAGAGGTGGCTGGAGCGTACGGAGATCTCGTGGGTCGTAACGTGAGCAGGAGTGAAGAGCAGTGGCCTTGAGATATGTGAGAGGCGAGGACTTGGGAATTTACGGATCAGGGGGCAGGGGCTCAAGCGGCGCGGGGAACAGTGGTTCTCAGGCTTGGCGTGGGCTTCGGGGCCAGGGCAGAGCTCAGGTCTCAGGTGGAAGCAGGCCTGGCAGCCCCATCCACATGGACACGGCACAGGGTCGAGGGCCATGGGTGTCCTTGCGTATTTCCTTGCTGAAGGGACCGTAGGGGAGTTTGACATCAGGGCCTGAGGGGTGGGGACAGCAGGCAGACTCCAGCAGCACCAACGGGACACACTGTGGAGGGGTTCGCGGGAGGCTGCAGGGTGCGGGTCCTTGCCCGCCTGCCTTTCCGTTTCTCCCAAGAAAAGGCTGGGGCCTGGAGCGCTGACTCCGGCTCCTCGTGTTTGCAGGCGTCCGTAAGATTAACTGGAGCACGAGGGGCTTGTGCCGCGTGGGGTCCCTGCAGATCTTTGGGTACCTGTTAGGACTCTCTGGCTTCCTGTGTGTGTCCAGCTTTGCTGCCTCTCACAGGCTCCTGGCCTTAGCTCTCGCTGTCTTTCCCAGGTGGGTGAAGAGGGACAGTTACCTTCCTGTGGGCAGCCACAACCTCAAGGCAGCTGCCAAAGCCAAGCTGGGCTACGACCCTGTGGAGCTGGACCCCGAGGACATGTGCCGAATGGCCACCGAGCAGCCCCAGGTTCATGTGCCTCTGCTTTCGCGCCTACCGGGCAACTTGGGGTATGGAGGGGGGCCGCGCTGTTGGGGGGTCGGACTGCTGGAGGTGTTGTCGCCCTTACCACTGACATTCTCTCCGCAGACTCTGGCTACGTATTCGGTGTCAGACGCAGTGGCCACGTACTACCTATACATGAAGTACGTCCACCCCTTTATATTCGCCCTGTGCACCATCATCCCCATGGAGCCCGATGAGGTCAGTGCCGCTCCTGGCCCCATGCCGTCTCAGCTCTGCAGCGGGCTGGTCCCAGGCGGCCGCTGCAGCCACGGGGCTTTGGTGTTTGGCTCAAAGGCTGGTGTCTCCTGCAGGTGCTGCGGAAGGGCTCCGGGACGCTCTGTGAGGCCTTACTGATGGTGCAGGCCTTCCACGCCAACATCGTCTTCCCCAACAAGCAGGAGCAGGAGTTCAACAAGCTCACGGATGACGGCCACGTGCTGGACTCAGAGACCTACGTGGGTGGTCACGTGGAGGCCCTGGAGTCAGGCGTGTTCCGCAGTGACATCCCCTGCCGGTTCAGGATGGTGCGCCCCCCCGGGTGTCCTGAGGCTTGGTCGGGCCCAGAAGCCACAGGGCTGAAGGAACCCCTGCACCCCCTTCTTGCCCTGTGGGCCCCTCACTGGACATCCTTTGTCCGGCCCTGGTCTAAGACACTGCAGGGTCAGCAGTTGGCTCCTTCTAGAGCATTCTCTGCAGCATCCTGCCCGAAGTGGGTTGGCATCTGTCTCACCTGTGTCCTCTCTCTGTTGTTTGCACTAGAATCCCGCTGCCTTTGACTTCCTGCTGCAGCGGGTGGAGAAGACCATACGTCACGCCATCGAGGAGGAGGAGAAGGTGCCCATGGAGCAGGTCACCAACTTCCAAGAGGTGACGCGCCGGGAAGGGCAACTGTGCATGCGCTGCCTGGTAGACTGGCTTTCAGCAGCACGTTCATAGTGCACCTCCTGTGTACTGGGGCTTGGGCACCAAGACGGGTGACTCAGGTGTCCTCTGGTCAGGTAGGACAGGACAGTGTCGTCACAGTGGATGACCCGACTTGCGGGAGGAGAGTTTTGCAGAAGAGACACAGATCTCTGGGCAGGCCATCAGACGCAGTGGTGGCTGGACAGAAGGCAGTGATGGGTCCCATGCCAGTTCACTCAGACGCTTCGTGGACAGTGAGAGGCTATTGGAGGTTTTTCATTTCCTTTCTGTTGTTAAGGAGACTTCAAAAATGATAGTAAAGTCCTAGGAATTACAGAGTTGAATATAGTGACTATACAGTCCATCAAATAATGGATAGAAAGCCGCATTTGCAAAATGTGTCACGACGGGAGACCCCGGGGGCCCCGACTGAGCTGGTCCTGTTCTTTTGGATGCAGCACAGCTCACGTCTCTATTAGGCACCTCTCAACACCACTCCTGACTTCACCCCACAGGTCTTTCCCCTTTGCCGACATGGCTCTGTGTCCTTTCCCTGTGAGTCACCAAACCTGGGGGTCGCCCTGGGGACCGTGACACATGGCCCAGCCCCCTCCAGGGCACCCACCAAGTCAGCTCCCTGCTCTGGTTTACAGTTTGCTCATCACGTTTGCATTTGAGATAACTTAGAAGCTCGTTTCTGCACTTACAGGGGTAGTTTTAACATTTCGTGCAGGATTCCTGGGTGTTTGACATTGGGAGGGTTTTCAGGCTGACAGACCTGCTCTGGGTTTATGAGGTAATGCTGGTGGCAGTCTGGCACTGCAGTTCAGCGTGGCATTTGGTCTGAGAGGGCCTGGGCTTCAGCCCACGCTAACCTCTCAACCCACCTCATTCATTGGGTGAGCATTTTCTGGGACAGAGACAGCATGTCACACACCATACCTCGGGGGCTCACAGGGGCCCCAGGAAGGGTGGCTGTCGAGACTTTGGCCAGGTCCCACACTCGCTGGCAGACAGGCCATGCTATGCGAGGCCACAATTTTATGCCATTTTTTTCTAACCCCAAAAGTTCTTGGGTGGACGCTGCTGCTTCCCACGGTGCTATCCTTACTGGGGCTCTGCTCTCTCGCAGGCCTCCTTCACCTCCAGCGCCTGGTGGTGACTTGTCCGCCCGGGACATGGTGCTTGCTTTTGTGACTCTGTACAGTCTCCCGTTTTTACCTTGGTTGCCAGCCCCCACTTCTCTCCCCTTCGATGTAGGTGTGTGACCAGATTAAGAACAAGCTCACCTCCCTGAGAGATGTTCCTAACCGAATCGAGTGTCCCCTGATCTACCACCTGGACGTGGGGGCCATGTACCCAAACATCATCCTGACGAATCGCCTGCAGGTGAGACTGACGCCCGCATCGGGGCCGAGTTCTTCCTATCTGACCCCTAATTGTTGCCTCCCCATCACCCCCACAGCCCTCTGCCATGGTGGACGAGGCCACCTGTGCGGCCTGTGACTTCAACAAGCCAGGAGCAAACTGCCAGAGGAAGATGGCCTGGCAGTGGAGGGGCGAGTTCAGTGAGTGCCAGCCCCGGGGGGTGTGGTCAGCGGGGGGCTGGGTGCTGTTCTCCTTCATGGACTCTCCTCCCGCCTGCCCGTCACCGCTCCCAGTGCCGGCCAGCCGCAGCGAGTACCATCGGATCCAGCACCAGCTGGAGTCGGAGAAGTTCCCGGCCTTGACCGCAGAGGGCCCCACCCGAGCCTTTCATGAGCTGTCTCGTGAGGAGCAGGCTAAATATGAGAAGAGGAGGCTGGCAGGTGAGCAGCCTGGTCCTGGCCATAGTTTTCCAAATCCCACGTCTCCGGCTTGTGGGACTTCGTGGGGCTGTGTTGGTGCGGCAGCGTGAGGTCTTAACTAGTCGTTGTGGAAGCAGATCAGATCATGGGGAACTAGGTCTTGCCGTGAGCTTCCTTTCTTCCCGCCTCCTTCAGCGAGTGTTCAGATACTGAAGTCTCCTTCCTGTGGTTCTGGCATGTTTGGCCCGTTCACACCGGGGCTGCGCTTCCTTTGATGTGACAAACTTGCACATGGCTTTCTCGGCTTCCTAAGCTCCTCTGTGCTCACCTGGAAAGCCAGGCTGGCTAGCTCTGTGTCTGGGAGGCTCACACACACCTCCTGTGTCCGGGAGGCTCACACACACCTCCCCGCATTGTGCTAGATTACTGCCGGAAGGCGTACAAGAAGATCCACGTGACCAAGGTGGAGGAGCGCCTCACCACCATCTGCCAGCGGGAGAACTCTTTCTACGTGGACACCGTGCGTGCCTTCCGGGACAGGCGCTACGAGTTCAAAGGGCTCCACAAGGTGAGTCTGACCTTCGAGAGGTCGCAGCAAAGTGGTTTCTGAGATGAGAGTGCTTGCTCGGCACTGTCTGGACAGTCGTGGGATGTACAAACGTCACCTTAGATTCCTGCTCTCAATTCTTCTGTGTGCACACCCAGCAGTAGGATTGCTGGGTCACATGGTAATTGGGTTTTTGATCTTCTGAGGAACTGCTGTTTCATCTCACTTTAATTAACTCTTAAGTTACTTGTTCATTTGTCTCACTTGTGAAAGTGAGTGACTGTCTCGTTCTTCAAAGTCTTACCCTTCTGGTAACTGGCACATAGTAGGCAGTCAATAAATGTCTTAAGGTTTTTGTTCTTTAAATACTGAACCTTAAAAAAACGTTTCTCTCGTTGAATGGGGAACGTGCTGACGTGTTTTTGTTCTTCTCTGCAGTTCTTTATCAGTCGCTTTTACCAGGGCCCTCCTCAGTAGCTCTGGTCTCCCAGGTCCAGTTAATAGAAACACAGGCAGGCCTGGCTCCCTTAGCCTCAGGACAGCTGGTTGCTTCATGGAAGCTGGTGACGCAGTGTCTTAAGCCCACCCTACGGCACCTATTAGCCCAGTGGAGCAGGTGGAGCTCACCTGCCAGCAAGAGGCTCCCTGGCGTGCTGGGGAGCTGGCCCTCAGCCCCTCCTTTGAGGGACAGCGTCCTGGGAGGTGCAGTCTGTCCGTGGGTGTGAGGGCCAGGGGTTGTTGTGTGCCCGCTCTGCTGGCACTGAAGATTATTGTGCTTACCTAGGCTCTGCACTCGCGATCTGTCAGCTCCTAGGCTATAGCACCTTTCACTCATCAGGACGGTCCGCGAGTGCTGGTATGTGCCAGACACTCTCCTAGGTACTGAAAATGCGTCAGCTGGGAGAGTTAGGGCAAAGTGCTCTGAGGTGGGAGGAGCATGTCACGTGTTGCGCCACTGTGGCAGTGTCTAGCCTAGCCCACAGGAAGGAAGACAGTGGGAGAGGGCATTCACATGCCCCGGGTGCCCGTGTCCGTCACCCCTCCTGCTGGCGGTCGGGCCACTTAATTGAGGTAAAATTGACACAGGGTAGGTCTTACCCTTTCAAGAGGGCAAACACACAGCGGCGTCCCCGCCACCACAGTGGAGAGAACGTTTCCATCGCCTCCCAGCACTGATATGGTGCCCGATAGGCAGCTGTGGGTCCCGGGTCCCGGTGACTACGCGCCTCCTTACCGAGGTGTTGCTGCTAATGATGTGCGCTTGGTCTCTGCCTGTCCTGTGGTCGAGAGACCCTGTGAGACGACACACTTAAGTGCGCGCTGGGTAAGAGGGTTAACTGAGCACCAGGACCCGGGCTGGGAGCCCCCGGGCCTCTGATGGAGCAAAGGTCCTGCTTCTGTTTCTGGTCTTCACACATGGTTCCAGTCACTTCAGCTCACTCTGGGCTGTGTTACAGGACGTCTGAAGTGTCCCTGTGGGCTGTCACTGTGACAGTGTATTTTCTCCTAGTCCTTGGGTTACAGAAAGTAAAACTGTAACGTGGGCCTGTTCCTTCATGCTCAGTCACCCTTCCAGGATGTCTGCCTCCCCTGGGGCAGTTCTAAGTTAAAGGTGAATCAGGACGCGGGAGAGCCAGGTGTTGCTCGTGCAGACTCTGTACGGGACAAGTCGGTGCTGCACCGTGCAGTTTCTTGGGTGGTAAGAGCGCTGTGGTCATGCGGGAGCATGTCCTGGTCTCCAGAAGCTGTGCGCTGAGGCGGCTGGTCTCCACAGCTTCCACCTGGTGGTGCCAACCGAGAGGACGGATCGAGGGGGTGTGGCAAGGTGCCAGCAGGGCCTCTCGGGGAGGCACACACGGTCCTCACACGGTTGGGTTAAGTTTTCTGTAGATTTGAAACTTTCGGAATATCGTAACCTTGGGCCTTGACTGCGGGGAACGTGGCTGGAGGAATTGAGGAGGTGACGGTTGTGCGTGGGCCTCAGGTGTGGAAGAGGAAGCTCTGCGCGGCTGTGGAGGCGGGTGACGCGGCCGAGGTGAGGCGCTGCAAGAACATGGAGGTGCTGTACGAGTCCCTGCAGCTGGCGCACAAGTGCATCCTCAACTCCTTCTACGGCTACGTCATGCGCAAAGGGTACGCTCCTGCCGCCCCGGCCAGGGGAGCTGAGGGCGCGGAGCTGGCGTGACGCCGCGGGCCTCGGTCCATGGGATACGGGAGAGGAGGGTTGGCTCGGGGCCGAGGGGACACCACGCTACCTCGGGGCATCAGGGGACACGGGCACCACGGGACGTGCTCATCAGAGCCTCCTGGGCTAGAAACAGTGGGGCGGTTGTCTCTGCCCTCTGTATGTGACTTCATAAATGTCATTGCTTGGGACATAGAGAGGTCCAAGTAGTTGCTAAGCAGCGCTGTGTGGGCTCATGAGGGATGTAAAGCCAGAGGTGGGGAAAGCAGGAGATGGTACCTTGAAGACACTGGACACTTCCGGGGTTGGGGCTGCAGGGAGGTGAGGCAAGGTGGGACCTGAGTGTGGCCTCTGGACATGACAAGGTACATGGAGTCCCGGGGGGAGGCGAGGCCTGGCCACTGTGGGGGGCGTGAGGAGGGTCAACAGGGCAGCTCTGGTGGGTGGCATAGGGACTGGGTTTGAGGGAGGGTCGCTTTGTTTAGTTTTGTTGCTTTTGAATGGCGGGGTTGGGGGCGGAGACCAGGGCTAGCACCTGAGCAGACTTCCTGGCGGAAGCCGAGCATCTGCAGGCTTGTCCTCCCGCAGCTGGAGGCGGCGCGCGGCGTGTGGGAGGACGGGGAAGGCGTGACGCGGCTGGTGCTCAGGAGAGTGGGGGAGGGTCACGGGGACACATGACCCTCTGGGCTGGTGTGGAGAGTCCCCTGAGACTGAGGTCATGCGCTGTTGCAGTGGCAGCATGCTGCCTCCTTCCAGAACTTTCTTAGGCCGACAGAGAAGTGTCTTCATCCCAGCTAAATTCCATCTTAGTTCTCCTGCCCTGCTTTTGAGTTCCCTTCCTGGAATGCTCCTCGCCCTCTTCTGACCTCCCTGGTGACCCCTGCAGAGAGCCCCTCCCACAGGCTGTGTCTGTCCCCCCAGGGCCCGCTGGTACTCCATGGAGATGGCCGGCATCGTCTGCTTCACGGGGGCCAGCATCATCACCCAGGCGCGGGAGCTGATTGAGCAGATAGGGTGAGTGCTGTGTTTGGTCAGCGCCAGGGGAGGCAGGCTCCCTGGGAGGGCCGAGCGCACCAGGACAGAGAAGGAACGGGTTGGTGAAGATGGAGTTGGAGGCCACTGAGCGTTTCGTTTGATGGGTTCATGCCAGGAAGGGCCTCGTCCACTATCTAGACTTAACACGGGCTTCTTGTACGTGGGGGCCCCAGTCCCGTTCCATGTGACCCCTTTGTCTGTTTCCCTGAAGGAGGCCCTTGGAGCTGGACACAGATGGAATATGGTGCGTCCTGCCTAACAGCTTCCCTGAAAACTTCGTTATCAAGACAACTAGTGTGAAAAAGCCCAAGGTGACCATCTCCTACCCTGGGGCCATGTTAAACATCATGGTCAAGGTGAGCCTGGGTCTCCTGGCGGGGCTGCCCTCTGGGCTGGGTCTCCGCACCACCACTGTGGTCCGGACGTGGGGAAGGGGACTCGGTGGCTCTCGCTGGCGTGCTCCCCTTCCTCGGCTCCAGCCACGCTGCCCGCCCCCCAGCCCAATGCCCGGTGGGGACGCCGTGCTCGGAAGTCTCTGCAGTGAGCCGGCGCTCTCCAGCACAGCACGCGCTTCTGCTGCTTATTTTGTGTCGTGGGATAATGTAAGCTGCACAGAAACATGACAAAAACAGCAGAATCCCTGCGCACCCTTCGGCCCGCCGTGCGACCCACGGCGCAGCTGTCAGAACTAGGGAGTCCGCGTTGGCACAGCACTAGCTAAACTACAGCCTCCGTTCCGGTGTCCGGCCGTGCGAGGACCCACACTGCGTGTGGTCATCTTTCTCCTCGCCCCTTCTAGTCTGGCATGACCAGGATACATCGATGAGTACCACTCGGGTGTTTTGTTGACTGCTCCTCAATTTAGATTTTCTGTTTTTTTCTTGTCATTAGACTGAGGTTATTTGGGTTTTTGGAGGAACACCACAGAGGTGAAGCGCCTTGTGCAGCACTGTTGGTGCGTGGTGTCAGTCAGGATCTGCGCTTGAGGTCGCTAGGTGCAGCTTTGCCACCGTGACATCCTAGGAGAGAGTCAGAGCCCACACTGGGGAGGACTTCCGCTCCCCGTTAGAGTCTGGCCTCAAAGCACCGCAGTTTCTAGGGGACACCAAGGAGGAGACATTCTGAGACTGTGCTAGCTCGGCACCTTCACTGGCTCTGTGCGGCAGTCATCACTGGTCCGGACAATGACGGGTGAGGCTGCCCCCTCCATCCTTGTCCTGCAGGAAGGATTCACCAACGACCAGTACCAGGAGCTGGCTGAGCCTGCCTCTCTGACCTATGTCACCCGCTCAGAGAACAGCATCTTCTTTGAGGTTGACGGCCCCTACCTTGCCATGATCCTGCCAGCCTCCAAGGAAGAAGGCAAGAAACTGAAGAAGAGGTGAGAACCCCACACACAGCCTTTGTGCTGGGAAAGGGAATGGACGAATGCGAGTTAACAACCCGTCTAGGAAATGGACCAACAGCCGGGATAGGGACAGACTTGGTTCTGCTGCTTGTCCTTTCTGATTCAGTTTGGAAAGCTGTTGTCGACACTGATGCCACCAGCTCTGTAGTCCACCTGTTATGTTACTTTGGAGGAATGAGCTCAGAGCAGACGGTGCTCGCTGCTGGGTGGATGCCAGAGGGGCGGGGAGGGGAGGGGAAGAAGAGAAGGAGGCGGGCGCAGGGGTGCAGGGAAGCAGCCAGCGCCTGGCCCCTTCTCGGCTGTGCTTGCGTGTTTCTAGATACGCTGTGTTCAATGAGGACGGCTCCCTGGCCGAGCTGAAGGGCTTCGAGGTCAAACGCCGTGGGGAGCTGCAGCTGATCAAGATCTTCCAGTCCTCCGTGTTCGAGGCCTTCCTCAAGGGCAGCACCCTGGAGGAGGTGTACGGCTCTGTCGCCAAGGTGGCCGATTACTGGCTGGACGTGCTATACAGCAAGGTGAGGTTGCGCCTCACCTGGCTCTGACAGTTCCCGTGGGCAGAGGGGCCCGCTGTTCCGTGGGCTCCCAGAGAGAAGGTGACAGATGAACTCGGCTAATTCTGATGAAATCCCAAAACTTGCTTAGTTCTAGTGACTCCCAGAATTTCCCTCAGTTTCTGTATCCAGTGACAGTTCTGCAAAGGAAACAAATAACATGATAATAAAACAAATTATAAGAGAAAAGTTTGCCAGCGATCACAAAAATTTCTCTGATTTTTAAAATCTTTGTTGGACCTGTAAATGCACACACAATTTCTACAGTTTAAATGACATTGCTGGCTTATCTTTAACGTATCTTATAGAATTGATTGTTATTCCTGCGTTGCTCTGTAGTCTTGTATTCCATTGAGTTTGCAGGGTTAATTTACAGCGCCGGCCCTCTGCTGTTGGTGGCAGGCGGCTTTAGGTCTCCACTGTGAGGATGGCATTGCAGCAAACACCTTGGTATAGATGTCTTTCCCTCTCCTGCCTGGCTTGCTAGGAAGAGGCTTTCTGGGTGAAAGG